AGCTCTGGAGAATTTTTAGTTTTTATTTCTACTGCGTCAGTCAAAATCAAAGTCAAATTAGAATTTCATTTTCACTTAGACTTTGGTTTATACTTTGACTTACACTTTGACTTTCAAAGTCAAATTCAAAGTCAGAGTGAAAATGAAAGTCAAAAGCAAATCGAAATTAAAAGTTAAATTACAAAATTGCACCCCAGAAATAGTTTTATCGATCGCAGAATAAAAAATTCCAACACCTTATCAAAAATCACTGAAATCTCAATACGCAATTTTTAATTTTCAGACGAATTTTAATTATTTTTCACTTTTTTCCTCCCCCAAGACGGAAATGTGAAGGTATATGTTTGGAAAATGTTTTTTTTCTCTGTCGAGACATGAGTCGCTTTAGCGGCAAAGAGAAAAAGAGAGAAAGAGGGAAACGCGACTCAGAGCAATGCATTTGGCTCTAAAATGCCTTTTGAAATTCTGACGCTTCGTCAGTTCTCTTTGGGCGCGCTCAGAGTAGCATTATCGTGGTGTACCGCAAGTGCATCGTAGGCTTTTGCCGAGTGTAGTTGCAATTTCGGCTTCTGAGGCGTTGGAACGTTTCATCGTTTCCAAGTGGGCAAAAGTATATAGCGTTTTCTTCTTAAGGTCCATTTCCTACTAAAAGTCTCTCTTTCGGACTCGACTCGCGTTTCTTTTTTTTTTTTTTTAGTTTCCCTTTTTTTGCCTCCCCACTTTTTCATCTACTGTTTTTCTCCAACTTTGTATATGTATGTGGAGAGGCAAGAAAAAGTATAGGATAGAAAAAAAAACCTTTTTCAGATACTTCTTGTCCAAATGGAAAAGCAGTAAAAGCCATCATCGATTATGCGGTGCAGGCCTTTGAAACTATTCCAAGATTTTATGCGAGAATAAAATTCAGAAAAGAGAAAGAGCAGAAAAAAAATGAAAATATTACTGAAAAGTTTCATTGCTATCGAGAGGAACATTCATAATCTTAAGAAAATATTCCTTGTCATTGAGGAGAATTCATCTTCTTGAATATAGTGTATCATAAAATTTTTCTTATATTCGGAATAATATAAAAATTAAGTGGACAATTTTTTTTTCATTTTTATTTCTGATTTTATGACGGGAAATAATAGCAATTTTTTTCTTCTTTGATTGCGACTATAAAAATTTGAAAACAAGTATTTGGTTTTCTTCTTTTTTAATTCTAGTGGATATATTCTCTTTCGAAAGTCGAATTTTTCAAATATTATTAATGAAGGAATGAATGTTAAATACACAGTAAATCGTGAGGTATTAAAAAGTGTTGCAGATTAAATGAACACCAAAAAAGATTAAAATAATCAATTTTGGTGTTATTTTTTACATGAATGAAATTTTAGTTCATTAAATTTTTTTATAACTATAAAACATGAAGATATCGATAACTACGAGTTTTCATCTCGGAGTGATCGATTTCTTCATATTTTATAATAATTTAAGATGACCAAGTAATAAAATTATTATTTTATATTATTCAAAATTATTTTAATTATTTCAATTCAATTATTATTTTCAAAAATTTTTAACTACAATTTTACTTTATATCAATTATTTTTAATAATTTTCGAAAAAGTTCTTTGGCAATTTTCCAATCCATTTGTTTACAATATTCAATTTCGCGAAATTTCAATTATTCCTAAATTCTTTAATTAAATGCATATTAGAAAATTAAAAATAATATAAAAGAAAGTTCAATTAACTTACTTTTTTATTCTCCACTTTATCGAATGTGTTCTTATATCAATAATATGTTTCTTCTATCTGATTGTGTGAATTTAGATATGTTTTCTATGTCTTTAAGTGAATTTATATCTGCAACACGTAAATTTTATAAAACAAACATCGTAATTTAGACTCTAAGCAATGTATATCTACAGTTTGTATTCAGCAACAATTTAATTTTGTAATTATAGTAGCCCTGTCAATGGTTTTTACTGTTGGGCTTTGTTATAAATAAATAAATAAATAAATAAAAAAGAATTTAATTATTTAAATGCAAAAGTAAAAAATTTATTGAATAATTAAATGTTTCTCAAAATTCAATTCTCATCAAAATTTTATTAACAAATTTTTAAATAATTTAATTCTTTTGTCGAATTTCATTAAAACTTGCATGAACATAATTACTTTTTTCAAGGAATTCAATTATAATTGTATGAAAAATAATTGAAACGCTGCGATGAGTTTTATTATTAGTAAAAATAATTGAATCCTTAAGAAGAATTTTATTACTCTTGAAAATAATTGAATTTCTGCAATAATTTGTAACTTTTACAAAATTGAATTTTTTTTTCGTGTTTTTAACTAAAATTCTTCAATAAATCCATTATTTTTAATAATTTTTTAAAAAGTTTTTTGAGAATTTTCAAATTCTTTTGTTTACAATTCAATTTTACAAAATTTTAATTATTCGGAAATTCTGCAATTAAATATATATTGAAAAATACAAACTTGAAATAATTTCAATAAAAATCCTATTAAACTTTTAAAAAGAATTAATTCTACAGAATTGTTTGTCAAAAATATGAAAAATTAAGAATTTCAATGATTTTAGTTTGAAACTTTTTCAAAATTTAATTATTTCTAATAATCCACGTTATAATGCTTTTAATATTTAATTAGGGGAGTGTAAGGTATGGTGGCGGACACTTTCTTTTTTGCGTCTCTCTCCCTCAAAAAACAATATTTTTCAAAATTTCAAAAGCAGACAGTTGCTGACATCTATTAAGCATATTTCTGTCAGAAGCGGCTGTTAAAATTTAAATTCAGTGAAATTTTACAGCTCTTGGCGCAAAAAACTCATTTTTTTTATTTTTGAAAGTTGTAAGGTATGGTGGCGCATTTGGTGTATTCAAAAATGAATTTAATGGGACGATTAAAAGAACTGCTAGCATCAGAAAAAATTTCGTATAGTATATTGAAAACAGTAGTACAAGTCAGTTTCAAGTCAGTCTGAAACCATAAAGTTCTTGAAAATGTCTCCAAGAATATTTGCTTTTCAATTTTTTTTTCACTACCTCGAAGTTTTCCACTTGGGTAAATTAAATTTTTTGCAAAAGTTTTGTCTGACTAAAAATCGGTTTTACTACTTGTTTCTAAATAATAGCAAATTAAAGTACTTAAAAGTCTCACGAAAACACAGTTTTACTAGAAATAGAAAATTGATATTACTTTTTGTTAGTTTACTTTTATTTTCGGACTTAAATTGACTGTTACTACTAAAAGTAAAAGTGCCCTTAATTAAAAACTATGGTCTGACTAAATATGACTGTGACTACTTATTATTTATATTTAAATTTACTTTTCAATTTTGTGACAGACTAAAAACGATTTTACTACTTAATTTCATTGTTAAGATCAGTTTAATTCTAATTTTTAAATTACTCGTTTTTAAAACTATTTTCTGACTAAATTGGACTGTTACTACTTTTTACTTATATTTATATTTATCGTTAACTTATTTAGTGTCTGACTAAAAACAGTTTTACTACTGATTTTTTTATTTAAGACAGATTACTAGTAACTTATAAATTACTTAAACTCAATATTGTCTGACTACAGTTGAATGTGACTACTTATTATTTATATTTGTTTTTAATTTTAACGTTTTAATTTTGTGGCTGACTTAAAACGTTTTCACTACTGATTTCTTAATTCAGACAGTTATTTAATATCTGACTAAAAACAGTTTTACTACTGATTTTTGTAATTAAGACAGTTTACTAGTGATTTATAAATTACTTAAATTCAATATAATTGTCTGACTAAAGTGTCTGTGACTACTTATTATTTATATTTATATTGAATTTTAACGTTTTAATTTTGTGTCTGACTAAAAACGTTTTTACTACTTATTTCCTTATTTGGACCAATTGTCTGACTAAATAAGACCGTGACTACTCACTATTACTTACAATTGTATTGATATTGTTATTTACTAAAAAAGAATAAATCAACAGAAATGATTAAGTGACTTTAATTTATTATCGATTGGAATTTAATAGAACGATAAAAATGGGAGTATTAAATCTAAGTGGGATTTAAGAGAGAGCGACTGATTTTCTTTTTTTTTAGTGATGTAAAGACGACCACAGCTGCTCGTAAGAAGAAGTCTATACGCCATCAATTTAAAGAAAAGTTGTTTCTTTCTTTTTTTTTGTAAGCGGCATGTTTACCGTCGGTGGAGTATAAACGAACCGCCATTTGTTGTACGATACGACTTTGATATCCCACCTGCACACGAACATTGCCACTACACAGTTTTCTCGAGTGGAAAATATGTGTCAAAACTTTAAAACCCCCTCGTCTAGCACACTTTTTCAAGATTCTAAAGCGAACGACTTGATGAGCCTTGTAAAATCGATATCTTACTATCTCCTCCTCCTCCTACTGCTACTGCCTCTCACTCCTCTCCTCTTCACTGTACACCTTCGTCGATCTAAATAGCTTCTTATCATTCTTCTACTCACACAAGATACGGTCATATACACCAAAGTATTTGAAAATGGGAATTTTTCTTGTCAGATTTTATTTTCAACCAACAAATTTTCGAAATATATATTTATATATTTTTTTACAATAAAATATCTATATATATATTTATTATCATTTTTTAAAAAAATTTTCAGAAAAAATATTTATTTTTTGGAATTTAAAAATTATGTAGGAAATATTTCATTTCACAAGAGAAAATAATTGCTTGTTGAATAAATAAATTTATAAAATTGAACATAAATGGAAAATGCAAATAGGTGTAAAAAGTACGAATGAATATAAAAATTTAATTAATTTTTAGCCTTAGTAAATAAATTAGTAGTTTTCTACAACAATTAGTAGTTTTTGAGTACTATAAGTGTATCATAAATTGGTATAATTATATTATAATTGGTATAATTATATTATACAATATTATACAATAAAAAAAAATTAAATTTTTTAAATAAGTTTTTTTTTGGTTGTTTTAGAATTCCCCCGGGGATCTAAGAAGTTTGGAAATAAGACGGGAAAACAACTGTTTAGTCCTATTGTGGGAAAAGGCCTCAACATGTGCAACGAAATGTAAGTATTAATTTATATTACAATATTTCTAATTTTCTGCTTATATTCTACATGTCATTGATATTTGTTTACCTGTAAATATATGTTTGTTTACTTTCTATTTTTTTTATACAGAAGTAAAATTTAAAAATTTTATTTCAAAGTTATTTATTTTTATATTTAAACTTAAAAATGTAATTTTTAATTTAAAACTAAAAAATAATGAATTAATTTTCAACTACTGGAATATTTTTCCCACTGAAAAAAATCAGTAATAAACCGTAATTTTTGTTTATTAAAAATCTGATATTCTCAGGACACTAATTTTCACTGGGAGTTTAGTGACCTAAAATGGTCACACATTAGTTGAGAAAGTCATCCATCTCAAATGCCAAAGTTGGTTAATTATTAATTTCCCCAGGTCTGTATGTGGAGTGAAAAGGGAGGAAGGAGGAGGAGGAGGAGGAGTAGTAGTAGTAGTCGAGGGGGGTCGAAAAAAGAAAAAGTAGTACCCCACAAAAACAAAGTTAGAAAATATCTCCTTCTTTGTCAGATTAATTGATTTCAAGTCCACTGTCATTAATCACCATTAGAATAAAATTAGAATCAAATCAATCAAAAAAGAAAGAAGGAGAAGAAATTGTCTGTTAAAAATATTTTTCTTACTGTCAAATTTTTTGTTGGAATAAATTATATTCCCCTTTTGTTGGATTTTTATTTTCTTTGTAGAATGAGAGTTTTATATTTTTTTTTTTTTTTGGCTGTTAAAAGAGTTTGGACTTTTTTTTGACTGTCGTAAAAAATGGGGGAATGCTTCCTTCCTGGTCAGTTTTTCTTTCTTTCTCCATTTTTTTTAAGGGGAATACAAACATGAAGGGTTCAAAAAGAGGCTAGCACGATCAAAGTCTTTCGCGGTGGTTAAGTCCATGACACGAGTAAAGGCCTGAAAACGGGGCAGTAAATTATGTAGTATAATGGAAGATTCCTTTCTCTGCTTCATCTGTCAATGTCAGGAGCTGAACCACCTACAGCCACAGACACTTCCGTCCCTTTATTATAACCTATTTACCAATCTTGAATTTTTAATTTATATTTGTGTATTTTTTTATTTTTAGAATTTTTTACTTTCTTCTATTTTTCTTAAAATAGAAGAAAATTTTTTGTTTGAAATTTCTTTGTGGGAGTTTTTTGTAAAAACCATTTTGACTACTTTTTCAAATTAGTTTTCAGTTTAGATCAGTGGGAGCTTAATTTACTAAAATTTTGGACTTAAACACACTTTTACTACTGATATAAAATTTATAGCAACTTTTGTAAATTGTCTTTTATTGTCTGACTTAATTTGAGTTATATTACTGGGAGTAGAACTGATTTTAATTTCTACTAGAATTTCGAATAGTTCTGTCTGACTAAAAATAGTTTGAACTACTCATATTTAATTTACATTGTTCTCTAATTTTCGGTCAGACTTAATATAGTTTTTACTACTTATTTCCTTATTGAGACCAGCTTAATTGTAATTTTTAAATAACTCGAATTCAAAACTATTGTCTGACTAAATCGGACTGTTACTACTTTTTACTTGTATTTATATTATTAACTTATTTTGTGTATGACCAAAACCGTTTTTACTACTGATTTATTTTAGGTCTGACGAAACTATAATTTTATTCCTTATCAAAAAATTTTTTAACTGTCCATTTTTCTTACAAATTTCTTATAAATTTCTTCACAATAATTCAACTATTTTCATAAATAATAAAATTCCATACAGGTTGTCAATTATTTTCATAAATAATAAAACTCATCGCAGAATTTCAATTATTTTGAATACAATTTTAATGAAATTTCTTTGAAAAATGTAATTATTCTTAATAATTTTATTAAAATTCATCAAAGAAATTCAATTATTTTAAAAAGCCGTTCTATAATTTATTTATTAGAATTTAATTATTATTGGCAATACATTTTTAATTTAATTCAATTATTTTAAAAAGAAATATATTATTAAAATTCGTCTCAAGAATTCAATTATTTTCAAAAGTAATAAAATTCATCAAAGACATTCAATTATAGTCAAAAGTTTAAAAAAAATTCTCGTACAAATTTCAATTATCTTTATAAATAATAAAATTCTTTTTCAGAATTCAATTATTTTCAAAAATTTTAATAAAATTCTTGGCAAAATTTCAATTATTTTTCAAAAACTTTTCTCAGTTGAATCAAATTTTTTACAGAGATTCAATTATTTATTAAAATTTGTTGACAAAATTCTTTATCAGAATTTAATTTTGAGAAACATTCGGTTGGGGTGCAGTTTTTCTAAAATGTATTTTAAAAATTCTAAAATGTATCGTAATTAACAAATTGTACAGAAATTTTGTAAATTATTTTCAATAAAAATTTCAAAGAATCCAATTATTTACAATGTTTTTAATAAATTTCTTCGCAATTATTTAATTATTTTTTATAAATTTTTAATTATTATAATATTTATTTTTTTATTATAAAACATGAAGAAATCGATCACTTCATGGATATCTTCATGTTTTATAACAATACTTTTAGAAATTGTTTAATTTAAAAAAGGTTTGAATTTAAAATTTTTGATAATCTTAATTCCTATGAAAAAATAATAATACTTAAATATTTATTTAAATAATAAGTTACTGATGTTTTTGAATAATTTTATAATTAAAGAAATTCGTAAATAAATGTAATAGAACATTTTTTTGAGTAACATTTTTTCCTATATTTTCTAAAGATTTTCAGTTTCATTTTCAATTAAATTTTCCAAATAAAAAATCTAATTTATAAACACTTTTTTCCTTTAATTTTCAAAAACTTTCAAATTTATTAAAACAATTGTAATTAAGAAATAGAAATTATGTAAATTATTTCCTTACTATTATTGAAAAACAGAAAATATGCAAAATAGTTTCTATTTCTTAATCTTAATTTTTTAACAATTTTCTAACTTTTATCAAAATTATGGAATTTTACAAATTTTAGGAAAATGAATATTAGAAATCACAAGTTTTTAGAAAAACTTTTTTTAGAAATCAAAATTTGTTAGAAAAACGTTTTTGTAGAAAACAGATTTCATTGGAAATCGCTATTTTTTAGACAAAAAGGATTAGAAAATATTTTTTAGAAAAAGTGACCACCTACCGAAACATTCGATTATTCAGTAAATTATTTTTTTTTGTATTTAAATAATTGAATTTTTGTAAAATTTTCTAATAAAAATTGATTTCAATATGCATTTTAGTTAAAATTTTAAATAATAATTGAATATTAAACTCTAAATTTGAATTAGTAAAAATGGTTTCTAATTTGAATTAGTGACTGACTTTTTGCTTTAGAATATGCAGATTTTATCAATAAATATTCGTTTCTACTAATTTAACAGTTAATTTATAATTTTAATTTATTTAATTTTAGAAGTAATTTTGAATTTTGAAAAGCTTTCAAATTATAATCTTTGAAAGTTTGAATCTTTCAAACTTTTAACTGAAAATTGGGTAAATTTAATTTTTTTTTTAAAAGTTTAATGGAACTTTTGAAATTATTTGAAGTTTTTATTTTCTAATATATATTTGATTGAAAATTTTCCGAATAATCAATGAAATTTCATAAAATTGAATTGTAAACAAAAGAATTTGAATGTTTTCAAAGAAATTTTTCAAAAATTATTAAAAATAAATGAATAATTAATTTAAAGAAAAGTTTTAGTTAAAAATAATTGAATTGAAATGATAAAAATAAATTTTATTCTCTAATTCCGTGTCTGACTAAAAACGATTTTTACTACTGATTTCTTGATTATGCCATTTTACAACTAGTCTATAATTTACAAAAAATCGAAAAAATTATTATTTATTGTCAATTTAGACTCTGCTTTTTGATAGAGAGAAGTAAATTTTAAAATTAGGATCGGGTGGGATTTTAAATTAGAAATCGATTAAAATTGAATGGTTATGAAAATCTAATGAAATTAGTTGTAAACTCCTTATATAGTGAAGGAAATAACGTGTAATTATAAATTTCCTGCAATAAACGATGAGATAGTTTTCGCTTGAGTTAAAAGTGGCTAGTATGTATATGTATATACATATATATAGGAGTGAGCTGATTAAAACTCTGACTCAATAGTTTGCTTAAACTTGGGGCATTTACGTGCAATAACAACCTTTATGAACGTTCTCTCTAAACGAGAAAAGTTTCCCTGCGTTTTCTTTCACGCAGCCAAGTAAACAATCAACTTTTGTGAGTAACTGAAACGTCACAGTAAATGTTTGTATTCCCCCCACTTTTACAAGCGCCCTCAATCCAAAATTAAACTGTCACATGGAATTTTATTAAGATTCCTTGGATTTTATCGTTTTTCTTCTATTTCTATTCTAAGTTTCTATTTTTATTTTTATAATTTATTAAAAAAAAAATTTTTAACAGTTTTTTTATGATTATCAAAGGGGCCGTTCATAAACTACGTCACACTATTTTGCATAATTTTTCCACCCCCCCCCCCAACCCACGTCACAAATTTTACATGCTTTAGCGCCATTTTTTCAACAGAACGTCATAAAAAATGAATTCCACCCCCCCCCCCACTAAGGCGTGACGTAGTTTATGGACGGCCCCAAATTTAAACAGAAAACGTATTAAAATGTAGCATCGAAACAATTTTTATACTTTTTTTTGTCTCAATTTGATATTTTTAGAAAAACTATGAATTTTAATTAAAATGTTTTTTAAAATTCTATTTTACTTTTGTTTTTATAAATTGCACTTTTTATTTTCAAAAATTCTTTTTTATTCTAACAATTTAGAATTAAGGGAAAAAAGGAGGAATGAAAAAATACAGTAAAAAATACACGGTAAAGATAAAATTATCACGATTATTTTATGATTCGGGGAATAAAAGAGAAAAGGGGTAAATTTTAAAATCCATTCCTGATGGAATTCTCTCTTTTTTTTGTAACTAGGTTGTAACTTTTGAAATATTAAAGCTACATTGC